AGCATCACGCTCGTGGCGTGTGTGTGTGTGTGTGTGTGTGTGTGTGTGTGTGTGTGTGTGTATGCCTAAAATACCAAAAGGAGAATGGAGAAGGGATTGTGGCATGGCCATCCTCCCTGGAGAGTGATTTCTCACTTTCCATCTGTCTCTTTAGTGAGCACACACACACTGCAGCAAAAAAACTCTCTTAAAATAAAAGTTACCCATCTTCTACTATTTTCCTGGCCAGAATGTGGTCATAAGGCTACATTTAGATTTTATTTATTTATTTATTTATAGATTTTTGCTATAGGGCATGTGAGCTCACCAGAGAGACAGAGACAAAGAGAGAGAAAGCAAGAAGTCACTCCTTGGTGTGTGTGGGGGGGTGGCCATTCTGTAATCCCTTCTCCTCCATTCTCCTCTCAGGATTTTACACATGCACGCACACACACCCCCACCGTGAGTTTCAAGCCTTTTGGCTCAGCACTAGAACCATGGTTGGCCATGTGGGAGTCCAGCCCCTTAACTACTGCACCACCTGCTGGTCCCTAGATACATTTTTTTAGTTGCCAGAGGTTGTGTGCACTCACTAGACACACACACACACACACACACACACACACAAACACACCAGGAGGGAGGGAGGGAGGAAGGGAGGAGGAGGGTAAAGCACCTCCCAGTAAGGCATGATCATACTGCAATCCCTTCTCCTCTGTTTATTCATCCCATTGGGATTTAGAGCACCTGACATTTTTCAAGCTGGGGCCAGGATTCAGATTGTGGTCCAGCACCCTTAACCACTAAACTGCAGGTGCTTAGATGATGTAGGGATGTAGAAGTACAGTCAGCCAGCATAGCTCTCTTTGCACTTCTTGATATTTTTTTCAACTTGATATGTAATTTTTACAATCACATTAAAGAGGTGACTCTGTTAGTAAAGGGCTTTATGTTCGGCATATTACAACCAATACAGTGTTCTAGGGTACTTAAAAAGCTTTATACTTGCTGGAGAGAGATAGAGAGGGAAAGTGATAAATCATTCCCTTGGGGGGATGGTCATGCAGCAGTCCCTTGTCCATTGTTCTTTCAGGATTTTGGATACACGCACATACATGTGTGGTGTATTTTTCAGGCCACTGGATCTGGGACTTGAACTGCAGAGTTGGCTATGTGGGATCCAGTGCTTTAAATACCATGCCACCTGCTGGCCTGACTGAATGATTTCTTACCTCAATATATATTTTTTAAATCCCTATTAGGGCCAACCCTGAAGTATAGTGGTTAAGGGAGCCAGATTCTACATGGCTGACTATAATTTTAATCCTTGCCTCAGTAGCTTGAAAAACATGCTCGTAATCCTGATGACATGGAGAAATGGAGGAGAAGAGATTATAGCATGACCATGCCCCATGGGAGTACTTTCTCTTGCTGTCTCTCTGTCTCCTCTGTGAAGTACATATTGCCTTCTGGCAATTAAAGCAAAAACCAAAACTGGGCCATCCTGTGGCCTGTCGGTTATGATGTTAGATCCCACATGGTCAACCATGCATTTTGAGTCCCAGGTGTGATACCTTGAGAAACACCCTGAGCATGTTGTATGTGTGCTCAGAATCTCCAAAGAAGGGGGAAAGAGAGGAGAAGGGATTGTGGCATGACCATGGTTCATGGGGTGTGCTCTCTCTCTTGCACTGTTTCACTGTCTGTCTCTAGTGAGCATACATACCTTCTGACAAAATTCAAAAAGAAAAAAAAAATCAGTTTCCGAAATTGAGCCCCCTTTACCTTTGTATTTTTGTTCAAAGCTGCTTTCACTTGTCTTACTCAAGAGAATTTTTTTTTTTTGTGGAGAGTGGTTTTTTTTTTTTTTTTTTTTTTGCTATAGGGCACATGCACTCACCAGACAGAGACAGAGAGATAGAAAACGAGAAATCACCCCCCAGGGGGGATGGCCACGCCGCAATCCTTTCTCCTCCATTCTCCTCTTGGGATCTTGGGCATGCACGTACACGCGCCCAGCATGAGTTTTAAGCCACTAGGTCCGAGATTCGAACCACGGTCGACTATGTGGGAGTCCAGTGACATAGCCATTACGCTAACTGCTGGTCCCCGAGAATACTTATTTTTAAAGATGTATTTTTGTCATATAGTCTCCTCTTTTATGTAGTCTCTGATCCCCATCTGCCCTCAACTGCCAGTCAGCAAAATTGACCAAGTTCCCTTTTTGGCCTTCTCTTACCTATACCTACTTGTATGACTTTTTAAAAGCATTTTGCTTATATATCTCTCTACTACCCCAGACAGTATACTCGCTAAGTATATTCACTAATTGGATTCACTCGCACTTGTGCCTGGTGTATTTTTCAGGCCACTAGGTCTGGGACTTGAGTCGGTTCCCACTCAATATATTCACTAATTCATTATATTTACTCATGTGAGCGGCCCAGTTGTTTTAGACCATGCCATTGAGGTATAGTAGGCAGCTTCCTTAAAACATTTCTCCCATGATGTCTTCTAGTCGTCCCCCTCTTTTTTTTTTTTTAGATTTTAGCCTTTTATTGTTTCCACTGTTATTTGTTAGTTTCTCTTGAGATATAGCTGCTGCTTTAACTGTGTTGCCATGCCTTAAATCCAAACCCTCGGTGTCTTTCATCTGTATCATCACAGTAGCTTCTTAATTTGGAGGTAACTTTCCTGCCATGAACTTCATTTGTTTCTGTCAACTTTTTTTCAAAGTGATTGCATTAGTTCAATGTAAGACCTCGTTCTAACAGAAACCTACAGTAGCAGTGACTTAGCAAGGTAGAATTTTATTTCACTTTTATATTAGCCCAGGAGAAAGTAATATAGGGCTGGTGTCACTGCTCCATGGTGTCCTGGGTGCAGAGCCTCACATTTGCTTTTTCATCCCCAGTGTCCTCCTTCACCGACATGATCAAAGGTAGCTCACTGAGACATATACGTTTTAGTTAGAAGGAAGAGGTGAAGGGGAAGGGGAAGCTAATCCCCTTTCCTCTAAAAATATTAACTAGAAACTGCCATGTTACTTTATTTCACATGTCATTGACTAGAAGCAATATATCTGGACTGGGACCCTGCTTATTCATATGAGCTTAGTTAATCTAGCCAGGACTGATTATACATATCTTCCTCCAATTCTGTGTTTAGGTGATCTCACATTGCTAGTTAGAAACTGGCCATGATGGGAATATTTACACCATTGAAATTGGCATGCAGTGTTTACTGCATAAGTAAATGAATGATATTTCAGTTACTATTAATGTATAATGAATAACACTCATGTCATAGCAGTTGTACAATTAAATTAATATTAACTTTAACTCTAAAAATTGTTTCTTTTGTATCATTTGAAACAGAGTACCCTGAGGATGTAGCTCCTACCGTCGGATTTTCCAAAATTGACCTTAGACAAGGAAAATTTGAAATCACCATATTTGACTTGGGTGGTGGAAAAAGAATTCGAGGAATTTGGAAGAATTACTATGCTGAGTCCTATGGAGTAATATTTGTTGTGGATTCTAGTGATGAAGAGAGAATGGAAGAGACAAGAGAGGCAATGTCAGAAGTGCTAAGACATCCTAGGATCGCAGGAAAGCCCATATTGGTGTAAGTAACATTAGTGTTACTCAGAATGTAGGGGCAGAGGCATTAGCCAGTAAAGAAATGGGTGTATTGCAAAATACTGTATAAGCTAAATGAGTCATGCCCTAGTATAATAAAATGAATGTAATTAATTGGGAGTTGTTCCTATACTGAAGTCTTGTTATTAGGTTCTCTGTAGGGATAAGAGGTAGAGCTTATATTATAAACAAGTCTTATAATGAGATCTACTGGGTATTCAATGATAAACCCTTTGGTTTATCTGATGATTTGTTTTGAATGAAATTTTGCATTTGAAATATTCTATTAACAATGTTCTGGAATATTTTTATTCTTCCTTTAATAGCATATTTTGCTTTTATTCTCTTTTCTGGAAGAATATTGTTTGAACGTTATTTATTTTATTTATTTTTCTAATGCCCAATTTATTTCTCAGTTTTTACTACTATTCTGTAATGAACATGTGATCTATGTTGTTCTTAGTTATATATGTTTATTTCATTTTGTAAGGTCCCTGAACATTTTTAAAAACCTAAGTAACAAAGGACTTTTGCACTACCTGCCCTCACTGCATTTATGCATATAAACACCAGATGGTGCTATTACTATGAGACATAGTAAAGCGAAAGTAATTTAATTGTGCTTTAACTTGGAGTAAACTGAATGTCCTTGCCTCTTGTCCCCTTTCCTTTATTCTTGTGATTCATTATTAAGCATTTAAAAAACTAATAATCTTTCTTGTAGTCAGATGAAAAATTGTAGTTTCTCTGTAGTCCTCATTATTAAATAAACATTTTAAAATGGGTTAGTTTAAGTACTGTATATGGAAGTTAGTATTGCATCATTTATTGGTAATGTTGTGCTTTTAATTTTTATACATTTAACCAATTAGAGAGGTTATTTAATTTATATAATTTCATCTTTATTGAATCTGATAGAAAACTTTTATAGAAGAACCCTTTTTTTGAGCCCTTTAGGCTAAATTGGTCTCTATAACTGTTTAAGAAGAAAATCAGTGATTTCTAGAATAAAGTAAAAGATATTAATGATTCTTGGTCATTTTTAAAATAATTGTATGTCCTTTCTTTATCCAAATAATCATTTATTATTTATTTAGTTATTCTTTCATGTACCTATTCATTGGTGCATGTATTAATTCAGCAAATATTTATTGTGTATAACCCTGACAAGCCATTTTACTTATTTAAATTTGGTTAAGTGCTTGTTCTGTAATAAAGTGGCTGTAAAATGTTATAACCCAATTTTTGTATTTGGCTATATGTATTTACATAAACCAAGACCATAGGCTAGTAAATATATCCCAAGTATCAATTTCAGTAAAAAGGTAAAAGTGATTTGCATTCCTTCTAAAAAGAGTAAAAATAAGTGCCATACAAATTTCTGCTCTGCAGTCATGTTAACCTGTTTACCTAAAAAGTCCTTTTTCTCTCTCATTTCTCACTGTCTCTATCTCTCTCTTTCTCTCTGTCTCTCTCCAGCAAGGGTCTGCACCCTATGGCAAATTAAAAAAAAAAAAATTTCTCCTCTTTAAGGTAGTCATTTTGAGAGAAAAAAAAATGACTACTTTTAGTGCCTATTAAATGTGTAAATAAAATATGCAAAAATGATTAACAACTAGTTAAATATCTTGTCTTTGTTGCTTAGGTTAGGCTGATACTACTTTTTAAAAAACATAGCAAGGAAATTGCATGTGAAACATTGTGATTAATCTGTGTCTAAGTTTGTATTTTCTTTTTTTATTGAGAGATTTTTGTTATAGGGCATGTACATTCATCAGAAAGACATAGAGACAGAAAGCAAGAAATTACCCCCCCCTCCCCTAGGGGTGATGGCCACACCCCAAACCCTTCTCCTCCATTCTCCTCTTGGGATTTTGGGCATGCATGCACACACATCTGGTGTGAGTTTTGAGCTGCCCTGGGTCCAGGCCTTTAATTACGGTCAACTACATGTGAGTCCAGCAACATAACCATTACACCATCTGCTGCTCCCATCTGAGTCTGTCTTTAAAAATGGTATGTGCAAATACAAAATGCTACTAGAAAAACATTTTACAAATCTATCTGAATATAACTATACTAATAAATTAAATAGGACTAACTTTTAATAGTCTCAGTTTTCATAATACAATTATGACAGTATCTTGAGGTTCATGATAGCGTTTTATTTATTTATTTTTTTTTGGAGAGGTTTTCGCTATAGGGCGCGTGCGCTCGCCAGACAGACAGAGAGAGACGTAGAGACAGAAAGCGAGAAATCACCCCCCAGAGGGGATGGTCACGCCGTAATCCCTTCTCCTCCATTGTCTTCTCGGGATCTTGGGCACGCATGCACACTCGCCCAGTGTGAGTTTAAGCCACCAGGTCCGGGACTTCAACTGCGGTCGACTAATGGGAATCCAGCGACATAGCCATTACACTAACTGTTGATCCCTTCTTTTTGTTGTTTAAAGAGAGATTTTTGCTATAAAGTGTGTGCAGTCACTGGAGAGACAGACAGAAAGTGAGAAATTCCCCCCTAGGGGTTTTGGCCACGCCACAATCCCTTCTTCTCCATTCTCCTCTTGTGATCTTTGGCACACATACATACACTCCCAGTGTGAGTTTTAAGCCTCTGGGTCTGGGACTGGCTCCGCGGTTGACCATGTGGGAGTCCACCAACAGAGCCATTAGGCCATCTGCTGGTCCCTGTGTTTTCATTTCTAACCTCTACCTTCTCTCTAATATGGAAGAAGCATTTCTATTCCTACCTGAGGCCAGCCTCTCCATTTATGCTTCAGATCCCACCCCTTTATGCTTTCCATCTTATTTTCTCTTCCCTTTCTTATATCAGGAGTTTTTCTCTCTGGATTATATCCATCAAAAGAATGTGCACTCATGTTTCTTACCTTCAAATATTGTGGGATCCTTTCATATCCTAGTCTTCTCTAGTTATTGACTCCCTTTAACAGTGCCCTGTTCATATATTCATGAAGAATTGTCGACAGTGGCTGCTGTACTTCATATCACGTTCTTTACTTAACATACTCCATGGTCTATCTAGATGTATGGGTTCCTTGAAAGTGTTGTTACTGGAGTCTGTAATTATCTCCATGTTGCTAAGTCTATTGTCATTCTGCTGCTTTCATTTTACCTAAAGCTGATTGTTTCCTTAACTTTTTTCTTTTAGAATTATTTTTTATTCAATTTCATTCATTCATTCATTCATTCATTTTAATTTGATCAGATATACACAGAGAGAGAGACAGGAAAGCAAGAAAGCAAACTACCAGGTCCAGGACTTGAGCCATGGTTGGCCATGTGGGAGTGTCTGGCACCTTAACCACCACACCACCTGCCAGCCCTGTTAGCTTTTTTCTTTAAACACTTCTTTGCATTATGGCATACATTCTTGGTTTTCAGTTTTCAACTTACCCCTTAGTTCTAGTGTGTATCCTTTATTAACTCTTCTTCTACTTCAAGTCTGATTTGGAATATCCCAGGCTCTTTTCTGGACTTCCAGTTTTTAGCATCTGCATACTTTTTAGGTGACCTCCTCTTAAAGTCACCTGACCTTACATACTATTTATTTTCTGAAATGACCCATATCCATGCTTCTAGTGCTGACATATCCAAAGAACTCCCACTACTACAGCAAATACCCTAAAAACCTTCACTTGGACATCTTATAATCATTTCAGATTCTCTTGACCAAAACATTGGGTCATCGGAAAAGTCATGATGTATTTTTTCATGCTTTTCTATGCAAAAATGCATTGTGACTTTTCCAATAACCCAGTAGAATTCTTGAGTTCCTTTTCATCTCCAGTTTTGAAATCTTTTTGTTTGTCTCTTCATATCTCAGCCAGTGGCATCATAATCCAGTCCGGAGCTTGATGATTCTTCCACTTAAATCTATCAGAAATTTATTTAATTTTTTCTTTATATTTTTAAAAAAGATTATATTTTTTCATGAACTTTTTAAAAGTGAATTCTTTATTCATGACTGCTCATGTATGAGCATGAGACAGAGAGAAAGAAAGAGAGAACACCCTCTACAAGCTTTTGTCATGCCACAATCTTCTACTTCCAGACCTCCAACTTGTCAGGATTTTGGATACATATGTGTGCCCACACCTAGTGTGTTTAGGGTTGATTGTGCTGCTGGGGCCAAGGATTTGGACCTGTTGTAAGCATGTGTCTCTGGTACTGTGGTTCAGTATATTACCAATTGCACCACAAAGGCTGGGCCAGTATGTGTGTGTGTGTGTGTGTGTGTGTGTGTGTGTGTGTTTGTGTGTATATACACACACACAATATATATATTTATACTATTATATATATTATAATATATATTTATACTATGTGTGTGTGTATATATATAATATATATATGTATGTATAATCACCACTATATAGTATATAGTAATTAAGAGTTGGTTTTAGACTGCCTGGGTTCAGATCCCACTTTGCTATATGAAATTTCTGTGACCTAGAGCAGATTCCTTAACCTCCCTGTACCTCAATTTTCCTACTGGAAAAATTGTAATAATAGTGTCTACTTCATACTTTACCTGCTATAAAATTATTAAAACAATGACTGGGACACAACAAGTACTTTACTAATCTTTTGCTGTTGTTGTTGTTGTTATGATTTTACCATAGGTCATGTGCGCTCATCGAGAGAGACAGAGAAAGTGAGAAATCATCCCAGAGTGGGGATGGCCACACCGTAATCACTTCTCCATTCTCCTCCTCCTTGAAATACATGTCCGGCATGTATTTCAAGCTGCCAGGTCCAGGACTAGAACCATGATCAGCCATGTGGGAGTCCAGCTCATTACCGCCATACCACCTGCTGGCCTCACTTTACAGACCTTTAGCATTAGTACTGCTGCTGTCACCATTGTCACCTCCCTGCTCTATCACATTAACATTGTAATCCAAGCCTCCGTTATTTCTTACCCAGGAGTACTGCATTAGCCTTCTAATTCTTTCTATACATCTATGTTTTGTCCTCTACTCATTTCCCCGAAGTCCAGTCTAACCTACTCTTTATTCAGTGAAGAAAATTATCTTTCTCAAATATAAATTATGTAATATTACTCCTAGGCCTAAAACAGTCTTACAGTCTTGAATTGATTGCACTGCTATAAATGTCACATTTTTTTCCCATGGTTTATAAAGCGTAAGTTGAGCTCTTGCTGACATTTCTTAACCTCATCTTTTACGTCACTGCTTTTTACCGTGTCCCTACTGTACTATCATTTTTCTTTGAATGGAATAAGTCATATTCTCTTTGGAGTCTTTGTACTATTTGTTTACTAGGCTTAGAATATAATCTCTCTTATCTTCCTCATCACTGAGGCCTTTACTTAAATATTACCTTTCAGAAAGACCTATATCCTGACCATCCAACATAAAGAAGACATTTTGACAGTATGTGGTTTTCATCCTTCTTTTAAGTCTCTGCCCGAAACTTAACCTTATGTAATATTTATATTTGTTTGTTATCTGTTTTCTTTACTAGAATGTGAGCTCTAAAACTCTGTTCCCGGATGAGTTCAAATAATACCCCGAGCTGATAGTAGAGTGCCTGGCATCATCAGAAAGTGATGGTAAAACATTCAGAACGACAACTGCTTTCCTTTGACTTGATCTACTAACCCTCCAGATCTATAATACAGTGTCCTGAGTGGACCCAGGTTCCAGAAAGCAGTGTCTTACCTTACATTCTTAGGTATTAAGCTAGATTCAGCTCTGAGTTATGCATTAGATTCTTCATCAAGTACACAATGAAGTTTTCCCCAAATCTGTTGATCAGAGTTATCTTAGAATAAGAGATTTGACATGGATTCTAGTTTTATTTTGTTTTATTGTAGCACCCTTGAGATTTTTTTCATATAATTTTCAACTACCAAAATACTCTAAATTAACCAAGTGGATTACTTAAGTAGTTATGACTTAATTGAACATTTGTCTTGTCAAAGCATTAGAAATTGCCAAAAAAATGCATAATTGAGATTAATACCTGATTAGAAACTTAATATTTTTTTATCTTATTTTTAATAGTTAACCTGTAAGCTGATGGTAACCATACTATTTTTAGTTGGATTAAATAATAGCTTACTTTATTTCACTAGCTTCATAAGTTTTTATAATTCTACTGGTTAAGAGTTAAAAGGAAACTTTACAACTTAAGTTCTGTGAAATGCAGAAAAACAATACAAAACACTGCTATGGGACATCCTTTCTCCTAAAGCTGGAAGAATTTCTAAAACAGCATCTTTATTTTGAGCTACAACATGGACAGCACCAACAACACAATACTCTGCAAGGATTTCTTTTTTTGTATTTTACAGCTAGTCCAAATTTCTCTTTAGTATTGTTAACATATTCTTTTGTACTGTTCACTGTTATTTCAATATTGTTGATACTTTCTCCTTGCTCCTCTACTAAAAGAGATATTTGAGTGAAAAGATCTCTTAAATCCTTTATTTGGTTCTCCAGGTTAACAAGTTCCTTATGTCTCTGTTCAATCTCTGAGAGCTGTGCTCTAGTGATATTGGTTTCTGTAAGTAAGCTTTCATTAAAGACTTCCCATTTTCCTTGATGAAGCATATCATTTACTTCTTCCTCGGGTACCTCTTTTCCAGCAACTTCAAGCTGACGGAATATAAATGTTTTACACTTCTCTTGCTTTGCTGTTATTGTATCATTGTATATAAACATGGTTTGCTGAAAATGGCGGAACATTGCAGCATGCTGGGACTTAAGTATCCTTGTCACCACTGATGATGGACCATTTTCAGCCTCTGACTTTTTAACTTCTTTAACTAAATCCTCCAAACTTCTGTTTATGTGTTCGGCTTGAATTTTTATCTCCTTTGTAATGCTAGACTCTCTCTTAAGTAGACTAAACCTTCTCATTGAAGCCACCAGACTTTTCTGTTGCTGCCCAAATTTTTGAACATCATCTGCCAAATTGTTAATACTCTCCTGTAGCTTTTGGATCTCATGTAGGTGTCTCTCAGCTACAGGTTCCCTTTCATAAATAACTGCTTGCTGCAGAAATACACCTTGGTCCTCTGCTTCTGCAGTTGACACATGCCTGTCTCTAGAGAGTTCGATTTCCTTTGTTCTTTGCTTTAGTTCTTGAAGTCTGTCTTTCATCTTTGATCAGCTCCTAGGAAACAAAAATGATTGTAGTGAATAAAGAGACTTTGGTATTTTTCCATGGTAGTAGTTGGCTTCACATAGCTATCTTGCAGAAAAAAATTCTCATTTTCTTTAAAAAAAAAAAAAAAAACTTTAAAAATTAGGAAAATCAATAAGAACGAAGCCCATTGGAATAGAAGTAAATTCAATAATTTATAAATGACTTTCTATAATGCAAGACTTCTATAAGTCTCATTTAGTTGAATGAAGAAGTTGAGAAAGCAGTGATAGAGACACAATTGCTCCAAAATAAGTTCTTCAGATTCTTGAGGCTGTCATAGATAGATTTTTCTTGATAAAAGGTGCTTTGACCATACCTGCAACTTTAAGGATTAGTCTTTAGACTCTGAATATGCCCTTTTTACTAAAAGTACTACTCTCATTTAATTTTGTCTATATGTTAATAATGTTAAAAAATGCTTATTTTGCTAAATGGGCATAATTCGTTTAAAATCAGTATAACAACAAGGCAGATTCCATGAGAGTTTTAAACAATATAGGTAATACTGAACTGTCACAAGTGTTCTCAGGCCTTTAGGCTGATCAGTACATTATTTTACATAGCTTTGTTTTCCTGTCCACTACCTGTATGTGAAAACAGTCTTACTTTGATTATGCTGCTTTCTCATTCTTTTTTTTTTTTTTTTTTGAGAGGTTTTCGCTATAGGGTGCATGCGTTCACCAGACAGAGAGAGACATAAGAGACAGAAAGCGAGAAATCACCCCCTAGGGGGGATGGTCACGCCGCAATCCCTTCTCCTCCATTCTCCTCTCGGGATCCTGGGCACGCACGCACACGCACCCAGTGTGAGTTTAAGCCACTGGGTCCAGGACTTGAACCGCGGTCGACTGCGTGGGAGTCCAGCGACATAGCCATTACGCTAACTGCTGGTTCCCGACCTGCTTTCTCATTCTTAACATTCCTTTGTGAAGATATCCAGATTGCATTGGAACATAATTTATGTTAATTAAGTGACATTTTTATAAGCATGGGAATATATTTATATAAAATTTACATAGGCAATGCTGACAATACTGATATTGTTACATCACATGTTGATAGTTATCCATAGGAATTAAATTGATATATGTACATGTATGTATGTATTTATATAGAGAATGGTATGCAGGAATATATAAAATGAAGTTTACAAAATGTTTTGTTGATAAAATACTTAATTTTCACATAGCATCTTGTTTTTAGAAAGGCTTTTAATAATGTCCTTTCATGATTTTTTGAAAATAAAAAGAGGCTGTTTGGGAATGCAAATAGTTTACTGAACCACCAGTCACTGGATATGATGATGTCAGTATCAACCAGAGAAAAAGATTCTAATGTAATACCAATATCCTGTGGGACTCAGGATGTTTTTGCAAATATCCTCTTCAGTGATTTGGATATCATCATAGAAGGCATACTTATCAATTACATGGATGGTTCAAAATTTAGAAGAATTTTCAATATGTTGAAATACAGAGTTGGAATTCAAAGATTAGCATGGAACACTTAAACTAAAAGTAACAGAAAGGTTTTTAATGATAATAGGTATAAAAAAATTCACCTAATAGTTTAGAAAACTTCTTCACTTACAAAAAATAAAAACCTCGGATTCACAATAAAAGTAAGAAAAGTATTGGGGACTTTAGTCAATTACAAGCTATCAGAACTATCAGTATAGTTATACGTTTATGAAAGTGCAATATCCAGATAGACTAAGAAAATGTTTCCCACTGACTGTGCTATTCAGAGTAAATGGAGATGGCACTATATTAAGTTCTGAGCATATTTTGAGATGGAAATTTATAAATTAGGAATTTCCAAGCTAGCATGGAAAGGATGAGATTGGAAAACCATACCAAATGAAGTCATTGAAACAAGTCAGAATTGACATGTAGAAGAGAAGATGTAGGGAATGTATACAACTGTCTCCTGAAAGGGGTGTGTGTGTGTATAGATATGTGTGTATACACACACACACACACACACACACACACACACGCATATGCAAACACACACGAGGGATTAGACTTTGCATAGCTCCAAAGGGAAGTGGGTGGAAATTACATGGAAAGCTATTTGAGTATAAGGATGACTTCTTAAATAAGTCAAGCTGCTCCAGGATGAAGTGAGCTGCTTCATGAGGTGATATGCTTGCCATCACTGGAGATATTTAAGATGTCCTTGAATGATAACCACATCAAAGATGTTATGGAAAGGGTGCCTGCATTGGGTTAAAAAAAAAGTTAAACTGGGCCCAGCAGGTGGTGTCATTGTTAAGACGCTGGACTCCCACATGGCCAACTGTGGTTCAAGGCCCAGACCAGAAGGCTTGTAAATCATGTGGGGTGCATGTGTGTGCATGCCCAAAATCCTGAGGGGAGAATAGAAGAGAAGGGATTGCAGAGTTACCATCCTTCTGGGGATTGATTCCTCGCATTTCCTCTTTCTCTCTCTCATCTCTGGTGAGAGCATGTGCCCTCTAGCAAAACTTAAAAAGAAAAGAAAAAGTGTTAAACCAGTGTCCTCATAATATTCCTTTGATTTTAAAGGACTACCGCTTGGTCAAATAATTATCGAGTCCTACTGTATGCAAAGTTTTTATGCTGTACTACAAGTTTAGTAGTACCTGTTCTTGAAAAATTAACAGTCTGAAGGGAGAGACAATACACAGTTAAGAAGGTCAATAATGTAGGTCTTGACAGAACCATAGGCAAGGCCTCGCTAAGGAGATATTTGAACTTTGAGACCTAAATGTTGAGAAGCTAGCTAGATGAAGAGTCAAGGGAATGTCTTCAGAGTATAGGAGATGGGGTGCCAAGGCAATAAATGAGACTTGTAGGTTTTAAAAGCAAAATGAAGGCCTGTGTAGGGAGAGGTTAATGATAGGAATAATGTCAGAGGAAAAGTCAGAAAAGTAGGCAAGGTCCAAATCCTAAAACAGCTTGTGGATTAAAGTCAGGAGGTTAGGTTTTATTCTTGATGCAGGAGAAGACAAAAGATGAATACAGTACTGGCATGACTAATATTTTTAAAAGATGTTGCTTGCTGTATAGAGAATAATTTTCTGGGGTAGGAAACTGGTTCATAGGAGATCCTTGAGTGATCAAATAGTGATGGAATAAATTGAAAACCACGGGATTTATTTTCAGAAGTAACAGAACTTGATTTTTTTTAACCCGTTAGTAGCACTTAACAATCATTTATTGAGGGAACCAGCAGTTAGCGTAATGGCTATGTCGCTGGACTCCCACGTAGTCCACCGCGGTTCACGTCCCAGACCCGGTGGCTTAAAACTCACGCCAGGCGCGTGTGCATGCGTGCCCAAGATCCCGAGAGGAGAATGGAGGAGAAGGGATTGCGGCATGGCCATCCCCCCTGGGGGGTGATTTCTCGCTTTCTGTCTCTATGTCTCTCTCTGTCTGTCTGGCGAGCGCACGTGCCCTATAGCAAAAAACCTCTCCAAAAAAAAAACAATCATTTATTGAGATACTTTCAAGTAAAGTGTTTTTTATGGTTTTCCTGTTAACCTCTTTGGCTCCTCCTTCATCACTTTTTTTTCTCCCCTTTTATCCTGGCTTCTTGTCTCCTTCTTCTAAATTTTGAATGTTTTTCAGTCCTCTTTTTATTCACCATCATATTCCAGTCTCATAGCATTATATACTTTGTGTTAGCTGATGACTCAAAATTGTATCTCTAATCTAGATTGCTCTTAAAATACTCTGTTTGAATGAGCTTGTGATCTTTCTCTGAACCCCAAAACTAAAGTAGATGACAACTCTGTTCTTTCTGTTGCTTAGACCAAAACTATGGAATCATTCCTGATTTTTTCTTTTCCACACTTCATATCCAAACTAGTAGCATCTCACAACCAAACTATTGAGTTGTTGGAAAAGTCATGATGTGTTTTTCTATGTTTTTTGATGCAAAAAATGCATCATGACTTTTCAGATGACCCAATAATAGCAAATTTTGTCAACCAAAGTATATTTAGATTCATCCACCTCTTATTACCTATCTCGCTGATTCAATTCACTATTATTTCTCACCTGAATTATTGCAGTCATCTCCTGAAAGCTCTTCTTGTTTTCTCTTGTGTATCTCCTTTCTTCTTTGGTCTTTTACACTTAAATTCAGACTTATAATCTAAGTCTGATTATGTCATTCTTTGCCTAAAACTCTCCTTTGGTGCTATCTCTTAAAGGAAAAACCAGACTCTAGAAGGTTTGACATGACTTTTTTCTTTAAAGAATTATTTATTTGATTTTACTTATTATTTTTTAACATTTGCTGTAGGACACGCATGCTCACTGAGACAGAGAGACAGAGAAATTAAGAAAGTAAGCTGCCAGGTCCGGGACTTGAACTATAGTCGGCCATGTGGGAGTCCAGCACCTTAACCACCACAGGACCTGCTGGCTTCATATACAGTACATGTCTTCTTTACCCCTCCTGTTACCTCTCTGACATAACCCCCTACAACTCTTCTTTCTCTGCTTCAGCACCATACTCCCCCTTGCTATTCTTCAAACAAAGCAAGTTCAATTCAGCCTTAGGGCTTGGCAGTGCTGTTTACACTGTTTGAATGTTTTTGCCATGTGGCGCATGACTTATTTCTCCAACTCCTTGAGGCCTTACTGAGGTGTCACACTCTCAGTATCTCAGTGAGGTGCTTGGTTACTCTATATAGAACAATAACCACCCTATTACCTATCTGACCCTTTTCAGCTTTTTCTTCTTACCACTAATTAACGAACTACATATGTGTGTGTATGTGTGTGTGCGTACATATATATATTTACTTTATTTAAGAGAGATTTTTGCTGGGACCAGCGTTAGCATAATGGCTATGTCGCTGGACTCCCACGTAGTCCACTGTGGGTCACATCCCGGACCCGGTGTCTTAAAACTCACACCAGGCGTGTGTGCGTGCGTGCCCAAGATCCCGAGGGGAGAATGGAGGAGAAGGG